CTCCAAGGACCTTGCAACATGCCCAAAGTATGTTAGACAAAGCTTCAGAATCCTTGACTCCAGGGAGCATCCTGGCTTCACGCTCTCCAGGACAAACCTGTTTGTTCTCCTAGCAGTCCATAGTATATTCAACACTCTTCTCCAGCACCACAACTCAAAGGCATCAATTCTCCTTCTATCATCCCTATTCACTGTCCAACTCTGATGCATAGCACATAATTGCAAAGACTATAGCCTGGATCAGGCGCACTTTAGTCTCCAGCCTGACATCGTTGCACTTCAGTACTCCTGAGAGGTCCCTCACAGCTGACTTTCCCAATGCAATTCCTCTCCTGGTTTCCTGGTCACCAGAGATCCCTCCTAATCACATATTCCCTTTTAAACAGTCTTCTCCCTCATCTGTTTCAATGCAGTGTGCATAATTTATCCCATCTTTCTCAGTCTCTCCCCAACCCCCATGTCAGTGCTGTTTTACAACAGTGGCACTATGCAGTATTTGTCCTTTTGTAGAGTCATCCATATTGGGTGCCAATTTGCACTATCATTATCATTCTTTAATATTTTGTGCAGTACTCCAGTGCATATATGTATCATAGTACACCTTTTCATCTGTTGATCAACACTTGAGTTTTTTCCATTTTGTGGAGGTAGACTTCCTAAGGCTTGTTGATGTGTTCTAACTCCCTGTGGTTCTGCTCCCTTAGAGGAAAATTTCTAAGCTGACATGGCTTTGTGTTCTCTGGCTCCGTCTCTTCTCTCTCAGTCCCTAGCCTCTGGCCACACTGGACTCCTTCATGTTCTGTGAACAGACCCAGCAAGAACTCAGCTTCAGCAGTTGACTTTCTCTCTGTAGATCCCCACAACTTTCTCCCTCAGGACTCTGCTCAAATGGCACCAGGTCAGAGAGTCCCTTTCTTGGTCACATCTTACCTTGCTCCTCTGTAGTCCCTTACCCTACTTCATTTCTCTTCATGACCTCTGTTGCCATGTGACAATACATGTATAATGTACATATGTATGCATGCATACCTAAATACACACATGTAGAAATATTCCATGAGGGCAAGGATTTGTCAGTTTTGTTCATCAGAGAACTTGGTGCGGTCAAGTGGATTCTGATTCATAGTGACTCGGTGTTGTAGAGTAAAACTGTTGCACAGAGTTTTCTTGACTGTCATCTAAATGGTATTCGGTTACTAGTTCTTCCTTCTTTAGTGCCATTGAGTGGGTTCAAACCACAAACCTTTAGGTCGGTAGTTGCTGTGTTGTTGTTAGGTGCCATCGAGTTGACTAGGACTCATAGTAGCTGAGTGCAAACCAGCCCTGTGTTCTTCTCTACCGAACAGAACTTCTATAGAGTTGCTTAGCCCGGAGTAAATACTTAATAGTTCTTTCTCAGTTAATGTCGTTGAAATAGAGAATAAAAGGAGAGAGATAGGAGCCCGGGGATTTGGAGCTGAGGTGCTAGAGAGGAGTTTTCAAAATGAGGATTGGGGCTCCATCTCCAAGCGCCCTTCCTGCTGGAGCTCCTGATCTTTGTCCAGTCTTCATTCTCTGCAGAGTCCTGTTACAAATCCTGAATGCTGGAGGTATGGGCTTCCTTTCTCCTCCCACAGGGAAGAGAGGGCGGAACTACTGGCAGGCTTGGCAGGTTCTAGCAGATCAACTGAACGTGATCTACACCCCTTCATTTAAATGTTCTTGACTCTGTGCATGGCGTGTAGCTCTCTGGCTCAAGAGACAATACTACCAAGTGTTCTGTTAGATAAAAAGAAAGTAATAAAAAAAGAGTTTCCTATTTTCCTCATTCCTGCAGGTAGCCAACCAGGTTGACTTGTTGGAGTGCATTTTCTGCATTCTTAATAGATAGCTAGGAGGTAACGCCCCATTCGTGAGAGGGGCAGGAAGAAGCAAGGGGAGGGTCCCAAACTCACAGCTGGACTTGGTTTCGTAAGCACGTAAATGCACTTAAGTGGGCAGGGCTATTCTAGCCACCTTAATACACCTTGCTCCAGCGCGGGAGGGTTACTCCGTCTGGTGGTGGTCAAGAGTTAAGGTAGGTGCAGCTTATGTCTTTCCTAGGGAAGGAGGGATGGTCATTCATCTGCGAATGAGTGGAAAGACATTGCACACTTTGTACATAGAGGCACGTCAGCCTATCTGGTTCTTTGGGGGTTTTTATTCCAAGTGACTCCCTATGACAAACCCTTGTAACTTGTGAGCCTAGCGTCTCGCACACTGGGAACAATTTTGCAGACGGGTGGTTGGGTCGAGGACCAACTGTTGCTTTTAGCGTCTGTGTTTAAATAGGTGTGCAGAGGCTTGGACCATACTCCGAGGTCCACGTGGAGCGCTTGGTGTCTTCATGTTCTATGAGCAGAGGAAGGGGGCGCACTTCGCAAAGTGCATTCAACACGCTGCTGCAAAACGTGGCTCTGAGGTGCTGCCTGGGAGCCAGGCGCAGAAATAGACAGCGCACAGCAACCTTTGGCATCCTCTTCAAGCCGCTGCACAGCATCCTTTTTCTCTTAAATCAGCCTCACCCTTCTGATTCCCGAGTTTAGGATGCAACCCCACCCTTTCCAGCCGCCCTCACATCCTCTTCACTCCAGCAGCTGCTTCGGCTTCACAGCATCCCTCGCTCCTACACCAACCAATCTTGCAGAGCAACTTTTCTGCCCGGAGAAAGTGAGCCCCACCCTTCCTCCCGGCGCCTTCACATCTCTTTCATTAGAGCTCGCTCGGGCTCAAGCGAGCCCGCCAGGGAAAGGGAAAGCTCGCTGGGGGAGAGAGCAGCTAACATTTCTGTTCTGTGCAGGCTAAAGGCATGTGGCAGCTCTTAGAATTTTGATGTCCCTCCTGAGCAGACCTCTCTGGGGTCTGGGATCAGAGTGCAGTCAGAGAAGATTGGCTTAGTCCACAGGGAGTTACACTGCTAACTCAAAGGCTTTGCCTGTGTGGCGGTTCAAATCCACCAGCCGCACTGTGGGAGACTGTACTTAGTGTCTTTATGTTTTGTGAGTGGAAAAAGGAGCACAGTTAGTGAGTGTAGTGTGTTCACTATGTCAGTGTGGTTACGACCGCCAGTAAAACTTGGCCCTGGGGCAGTGTTGCCTGCAAGCCAGGCACTAGGATCAAAGACATCGCACAGAAACCTCTCCAGGCTAACCACACCAGCTGCCTTTATCATAATCTCCTTTGCTCCAGAGTTCTGGGAGAAAGGTCTCCCTTGGAACAACTTCGGAATCCGCCCCCCCCTACCCCCGAGGGTCAGCTATGAGTCATGTCCGTACTCAATGTTTTCCGTATGGAGCCTTCCATAACTCCACGGCAATGAGTTCCATTGAATTGAGTTGAAACCAGAACACACAACTCCCAACTTTCCTCTTCAAGTGTGCATCGTGTGTCTGGAGGGAGGAAGAGATGGACAGAGATAGTGCTTGTGCTGGTTCAGGGCCCTCCGTTGCTCGTTGTGCGAGCTGTGGAAGGTGATAGGAGCCCTTCAGAGTTTCTCAGACCAGTCCCACCATCAGATGGTGCCTCATGAGTTCTGTGGCTCCTCTACCTGGGAAGTCAGAGAGTTTCTTAAGGTGCCAATGGCCATCTTCTTCCCTTGTGGCTTCGGGGAGAGATAAGAAAGACAAGCTGTGTCAAACCAGGGCCATTATCGAACAGTGGCTTCCAGCATTTCTAGGACAAAGAGGAGACTCCTACCAGGGTGCTAAGCAAACCTGGCAAATGATAGGCTCCCAAGAGAAGCCCCTGCAGAGCTGGGCTGGTGTCCTTCCTGTATTCCCTGAAGAAAACAAAATGGCAGATGTAAGATTATGGTATCAGGCCCCTTAGGGCACCTTGAGCCTTAGAGGCACAACTCCCACATGGGACAGATGAGGAGACTTAGTCCTAGAGAGAGAAAAGGGCTATTATTCTCACAAATGATGGCAAACCTGAGCATAGCATCCAAATAGACTATATATATATATATATATATAAAATTTACCTAGTTCAAAGTGTACCTACCTAAAAACAAGGAAATCTGTGCAGAGGACTGACATCAGAGTAATAGAAATCTAGATTCAAATGTGGCCTACGTAGCTTATTACAACAAACATTTTTCCTTTTTTTTTTTTTTTTGCTGGAAAATTAAGAAGAGAAAGTAGGCATTAGGCCAAGAGTTGGTTTTAGCTCATATTTTACTAGGGGGTGAATTGTGTTTGTGAATAGAGTTGTGTCCCCTAAAAAGATAGTCTGAAGTTCTAAACCCTTTATGACCTTTCTAGAAAGAAGTTCTTTGTGTGAAGGTGTTATCAGCTACTGAAGTGAAGTGTGTTTTAATCCAATATGATTGGTGTCCTCATGAAAAAGAGGATATACTAACACAGAGTATCAATACAGCTCACCCCCTAACTTGGACTTCAAGCCTCCAAGACTGTGAGACAGTGACAATGCCACTCCAGTGAGGTTTTCAGAAGCTATAAATTGAATGCGGAAAGACTGCCCATCTTTCTCTTGAGGAACAGATGGTGGATTTGAACCACATGCCTTTGAGTTGGCAGCATTACTTTGTACCCAGTAGTACTTTTATAGCTGGCCATTTACACAACTCTGTTGTTGTTGTTGTTGTTATGTTTTCTCCCATTCCATGTCATCCTTCTAGTCATGTTGCCTGGTGAGCCTTCTCATCTGTGAAAGAAGGCCTCTCTCGGCACTTCCGAGAACTGTGTCTTCTTGTTTCTTGAGCACCGATATATCAGGCTCCTCATCAGATACTCCGCCAAGAAGAGCATTGTTGTTGAGCTTCTTGGAACTCTTCAAGAACTCAGTGGCTCCATGGGGCTCATTGAGGGCAAGTAATTAGTCAGAGCAAACTGAATACCCCCGAAGATGCTGCTTACCCCAGCTATACCAAGCCTCAGAAAAATAACACCAATGAAATTTTTCTTTTTCTCTTTCTTTCTTTGACATTTTTCATTCAGTTCCTTGCCATACTGCTGTCACCTATGTCTGCTCCAATGGAAGGAAGACAGCCTGACAAGGAAAAACCAAATCCTATAAAGACTGAGTGGAATTCTCGCTGTTTCCTTATCACCTATTTTCAAGGGGACATAGGCACCGAGGTGGATGGACACTTTTCCAGAGCTCTGAGCAACATGGAAAACCCTTCAGGGCTGAGCCAAGATGTGACCCCAAGGAATGGTGAGTATTTACATTTCTCCTAGAAATTTATCCTTCTGAATCCTACATACCTCATTTTGAGTTCCTAACATATGTCAATCTCCAATCTAGATTTCTGATACTTTAATGTCAGTCCTCTGCACAGTATCTCCAAATTGCTCAAGATTACAGGCATATTTGTTCATGCTCCGTTAGTTCAACAAACCCTTGGATATCAACTCCCCACCCTCTACTCCACCCCACACTGTCTGCATTGGGTAACCAACCATTAATACATTTGACACATCGGTGTCACAGTGTTCAGTCCCACAGTAAGCACAAGTTACCGCTGTACGGCAAGTGGAAGGAGGAGTGGCATCCACTTCTGTAACAGCTTGCCTCTGGAAACCCTATGAACCTGGAGAAAGGATGAAAGACACCCAAGCGTTGAGAACTCTCCTTCACAGGGTCGCTATGAGTCGCCTGTGACTTGACAGCACTTAACAACAATAACATCAACACAGAGATCAGTTGGCCTAGTGAACAGAAAGCAATGCTACCAAGCTGAAGGTGGGTGACTTTTAAACTGCGGCCCTTGGGCCTGTCTTTCATTGTTTTTGTTCAGACATCCCTCTGGGTCGTATAGCCCTGGTGTACAAGTTGCTGTACCGCGGTCACTTGTGGTTGCTGTGAGGCTGAACACTGTGACACTGATGTGTCAAATGTGTTAATGGTTGGCTACCCAACACGGACAGAGAGTGGGGTGGAGCTCCCCAGTTAAAACAAGCTTGGAAAGAGGAGTGGCATCCACTTCCATAATAGCTTGATTCCAGAAACCCTATGAACCTGGAGAGAGGATGAAAGGCACCCAAGCGTCAAGGACTCTCCTTCATAGGGTCGCTATGAGTCGCCTGCGACTCGATGGCACTTAACAACAACGACAACAAACCCTCTACTCACCTCTGTGTGCCCATTTTATCATAATTTCTTTTTCTATTTGCTACTGTCACATACACTGGACCTCAAAGGCCCTCTAAGAAAATCGCATCACCTAATTGGAAAATTAAAAAAACCAACCAAAAACCCAACTGAAAATGACACACACTCATGCCCATTATCTCTTCTCTCTCCTCATGTTCTCTTGGATCCATTCCACTCGGGCCCTGATGCTCATCACACCGTGAAACCAGAACCATTAGACTTGACCAAACCACAGGGGACCCCAAAAACACAAGATTTTAGTGTGAAATACGAACCTGGTAAGCAAACCAATGTAAAATAATTTTTTTATTAATTAAAGAAACCTCAGAAGTTATCCTCAAGCCCATGATCTCTTCTCTCTTCTCGTGCTCTCTTGAACCCATTCCATCCAGACCCTGATCTTGATCCCTCCGTGAAACCAGAACCATTAGACATCACCAATGCACAGGAGACACTGGAAACACAGGGTTCTAGTGTGAAATATGAATTTGGTAAGCAAACCAATATAAAATAATTGTTTTATTTATTTAAAAAAAACAAACCTCAAAAGCTATACTCCTGCACATGATCTCTTCTCTCTCCTCGTGCTCTCTTGAACCCACTCCACTCAGACCCTGATCTTAATCCCTCCGTGAAACCAGAACCATTAGACTTGACCAATGCACAGGGGATTCTGGAAACACAGGGTTCTAGTGTGAAATATGAATTTGGTAAGCAAACCAATATACAATAATTTTTTATGTATTAAAAAAGCTCAAAAGCGATCCTCATTTCTATTAACTCTTCTGACTCCTTGTGTTCTCTTGAATCCACTGCACTCAGACCCTGATCTTCAGGCCTCCGTGAAACCAGAACCACTAGACAACACCAATGAACAGGGGACTCTGAACATGCAAGGTTCTAGTGTGAAATACGAACTTGGTAAGCAAACCAATATTAAAAACAATGTTTATTTATTAAAAAGCCCTCAGAAGTTGTCCTCACGCCCATGATCTCTTCTCTCTTCTCGTGCTCTCTTGAACCCACTCCATCCAGACCCTGATCTTGATCCCTCTGTGAAACCAGAACCATTAGCCATGACCAATGCACAGGAGACTCTGGAAACACAAGGTTCTAGTGTGAAATATGAATTTGGTAAGCAAACCAATATAAAAGAAATGTTTTATTTATTTAAAAAAAAAACACCTCGAAAGCTATACTCCTGCACATGATCTCTTCTCTCTCCTCATGTTCTCTTGAATCCACTCCACTCAGAACCTGATCTTTATCCCTCCATGAAACCAGAGCCATTAGACGTGACCAATGCACAGGGAACTCCAAAAGCACAAGTTTCTAGTGTGAAATACGAACTCGGTAAGCAAAGCAATAAAAAATAATATTTTTATTTATTTATAAAAAAAACACCTCGAAAGCTATCCTCCTGCCCATGATCTCTTCTCTTTCCTCGGGCTCTCTCGAATCCAAACCACTCGGGCCCTGATGCACATCACTCTGTGAAACTAGAACCATTAGACTTGACCTATGCACAGGGGACTCCGAACATGCAAGGCTCTAATGTGAAATGCGAATTTGGTAAGCAAATCAATATAAAATATTGTTTTATTCATTTAAAAAAACCCTCAAAAGTTATGCTCACACCCATGATCTCATCTCTCTCCTCATGCTCTCTCGAATCCATTCCACTCGGGTCCTGACGCACATCACTCTGTGAAACCAGAACCATTAGACTTGACCTATGCACAGGGGACTTCACAGATACAAGGTTCTAGTGTGAAATACGAACTTGGTAAGCAAACCAATAAAAAATAAATTTCTTACTTATAAAAAACCCTCAAAAATTATACTCATAAAAAACTATACTCCTGCCCATTATCTCTCTTCTCTCTCTTCGTGCTTTCTTGAATCCACTCCACTTGGGCCCCAATTCTCACCACCTTCGTGAAACCAGAATCACCAGTGTTGACCAAGGTGCAGAAGACTCCAAGAAAAAGAAGTTTTAGGGTGAAACGCAATATATACGAACTTGGTAAGCAAACCAATATAAAAGATTTTTTTTTAAATTTCTAGCTGATGTTAGATGGATCTTAGCTGAAAGCAGAGAATACCAGAGGAATGTCTATCTGTGTATCATTGACTATGCAAAGGCATTTGACTGTGTGGATCATAACAAACTGTGGCTGACTCTGAGAAGAATGGGAATCCCAGAACACTTGATCATGCTAATGCGAAACCTATACTTGGACCAGGAGGCAGTCGTCAGAACAGAGCAAGGGAACACTGCATGGTTCAAAATTGGGAAGGGCGTACGCCAGGGATGAATCCTATCTCCATACCTTTTCAACCTATATGCAGAACAGATTATCCGGGAGGCTGGGCTCTATGAGGAGAAATGTGGGGTCAAGACTGGTGGACGATTTATCAATAATCTGCGTTATGCAGATGACACAACCCTGCTTGCTGAAACGGAAGAGGACCTGAAGCACCTGCTGCAGAGGGTCAAGGACTGCAGCCTCCAATATGGATTGAGGCTCAATGTCAAGAAGACAAAGATTCTTACCACTGGACCAATTGGCAGCATCAGGATGGACGGTGAAGAGATTGAGATTGTACACAGCTTTAGTTTGCTTGGCTCCACAGTCAACAGTCTTGGCACCAGCAGCCAGGAAATTAAAAGGCGCATTGCCATGGGAAAGTCTGCTGTTAGGGACCTCTCCAAAGTGCTGAAGAGCAATGGTGTCTCTCTGGAGACTAAGGTGTGTCTGATACAGGCCATGGTCTTCGCAATCACCTGTTGTGCATCAGAGAGTTGGACAATGACCAAGGAGGATAGAAGGAGAACTGATGCCTTTGAGCTGTGGTGCTGGAGAAGAGTATTGAGAATACCATGGACTGCTAGGAAAACAAACAGATTTGTCCTGGAAAGGGTTAGACCGGGTGGCTCCTTGGAGGCAAGGATTCTGAGGCTCCGTTTAACTTACTTTGGACATGTTGTGAGGAGAGACCGGTCCTTAGAGAGGGACCTCATGCTTGGGAGGGTGGAGGGACAGCGCAGGAGAGGAAGACCCTCTATGAGGTGGATTGATTCAGCGACTGGGGTAATGGGGATGGGAGTGTCAGAGACAGTGCGATTGGCACAGGACAGAGCGGAGTTTAGGGATGTTGTACATAGGGTCGCTATGAGTCACAGGCGACTCGACGGCACATAACAACAACAACAACAACAACAACAACACAACCTCAAAAATTCTACTCCTGCCCATTATCTCTTCTCTCTCTCTCCTTGTGCTCTCTTGAATCACTCCTCTCAGGCCCGGATCCTCATCGATCCTTGAAACCACAATCGTCAAAGTTGACCAATCTAAGGAAGACTCCAAAAAGAAAAAGTTCTGGGGTGGAATGCGAATCTGGTCAGCAAACCAATACAAATATTGTTTGTTTGTTGTTTCTGTTAAAATAACCACCTCAAAAGTTATCCTCATGCTCATTATCTCTCTTGAATCCACTCCACTCAGGCTCTGATCCTCACCACTTCATGAAACCAGAACCAGCAGAGTTGACCGATGTACAGGAGACTCCGAGAAGACAAGTGGCTAGGGTGAAACGCGAACTTGGTAAGCAAACAAATACAATCTTTTTTTATTTCTTAAAAAAAAAACACAACAACCCTGAAAATTTATACTCCTGCCCATTACCTCTTCTCTCTCCTCATGCTCTCTTGAATCCACTCCACTCTGGCCCTGATCCTCGTCGTTCCGTGAAAATAGAACCATCAGAGATGATGAATGTGCAGGAGACTCCGAGAAGGCAAGATTCTACATCCTACTTTGGTGAGTACTGAGTGGGGTCCTAAAAGCTTGTGAGTAGCCATCTAAGATGCAATGAGTTTCTCCGCGTGTGGAACAAAACAAGTGGGAAGAAAAGCAGAGATGTATTGAAACAATTAGTCTGAATTACTCATGGGCCATGAGAACCTCAACCTCCACAACCCTGAGACCAAAAGAACTAGATAGTGCCCAGTTGCCACTGGTGGTCACTCTACAAGGGATCACAGAAGAAGGTCCTGGATAGAAAGGGGGAAAGTGTGAAACAAACCCCCAAAACATAAAAAAGTTCAAGCTTACAGTCTTATAGAAACTTGTGGAACCCCTTCAAGGCTTGATTACCCTTCAAACTTGGAACAAAATTCACCCACCCCAGAGGCTCAATTTTCAGTCAAACAATAGACGAATAAGGGAGAAAGTATCACCTGGGAGGCACTTACTAACAGCAGCATTTGCCCATGAGTAAAGTCCAGAAAAGAGGACTAGATAGAGTATAAGGATTAATGGAAATGAGAAACACAGGGAGAAAGTGGTGCTATGAGTGTAGTACATTATAAGTATTGTTATAATTAAAGTTGTGAAACAAAATGTATATGAATAGTTGAATGAAAAATCAATTTGCTTTGTAAACATTCACTCAAATCACCACCACACACAAAAAAAATTATCAAATCAATAAAAGGGAAAAGAAAAAGGAGAGAGAGGAAAAAAATGTTAGCCTGTGGCTTCTACTCCTGCGCTCATCTCATTTGATCTATCAGCAATATCTGCTGTAGTTCATTGCTCCCTCAACCTGACTTCAATCACATCACACAGAAATGACAGCCACTTCAGCTTCTTGAGTTACCAATGCTGAAACCTCCATTGTCTTTAAAATGAAAAAGAAGTAAGGATACATTTGAAATTTGGTTTTCTCTTCTGAAATGTGACTGGAATACATGTGTTGTTGTTGTGTACTGTGGAGATGGAACTGACTCACCTCTGACTCTCCGGTGGGTTTTCAGAAACAATAACATCCATCACAAGGGAACTCTGGTGGCCTGGTGGTATAGAGCTGTGCTGCAATCTCAAAGGCACATGGTTCAAATTCATCAGTTGCTCTGCAGGAGAAGGATGGACAATCTCTTCCTGTGTAATTTACTGCCTCTGAAAACCCTCTGGAGGGTCAGTTCTGAGGCCCCTCCAACTCCACAGCGCACAACAACAACAACAGATTGCACGAGGGAAGATTGCCCATCTTTCTCCTGAGAAGCAGCAGGTAGATTAGATTCACATGCCTTTGGGTTGGCAGCACAACTCCTTACCATGTAAGTCAATTAAACAATCACTTTGATGTGGAAGGATAAGCCGGGGCCTTTGGTTTCATTCTCTAGGCACACAGGTCCGTGTTAGACTTTGCAAAAATGGCTTTACCGAGCTCCCTTAGAAGGCTAGTGAATTCATAGGAATCCATGCATGGTAGCCTGTTCTCCTGGGCATGGCTTATCTATGGTTGAGCAGGTGGGTCCTGGCCAGGACTAAGAGGTAGGGTCTAGATGCTGAAGGTTGGAATATATGGAGAGGAAGCAAGTATTTTATATTTCTAGTGAGAGAAAAAGCTTATCTAAAGTGTTCCTTAATCCAAGTGTCCCTCATCCTTTCTCCATTTGATAATGTGCTATGGGCCTTTGAAAAGGCACTAAAAGCCCTCTGGGAGTGTAAAGGTGATGGCCTGAATCTACCGCCCTCCCCCATAGCTCCCTCCCTCCTTCCCCTCCAGGGATAACCAAAGGAGGCTGTGGGTTAAGAAGAAAGTGACTCTGAGACTGGCTTCTAAACAACAGCAATAGCCTTGAGTTCTCCCAGATTGTGGTTTAGAAAACTGTCACAGTGCTGCAGGAAGCCTGAGAATGTTCAGTCCCACCAAACTTAAGGGGCTCTCCAGCTTGGAACACCAGGTTCCCAAGGCCCACATGAGGCTGCTGCAAATTTGGGATTGGGACTTTCGGTACCTCCCAATCGTCTTCCCATTCAAACAGTGTTCTCATGCAATCTAGTAGCCAAAATGGGACCTTGGAGAGGAGACCACCACCCGCTTCCCATAACATTGCAGCCAGAGAACCATGGTAAAAAAGGTGTTAGAGAAAGACCAGAAATAAGCCGAGACCCTGCCTTGCACATTTCCAGCAGCCAGAACCCCCAGGCCAATGATATGGGATCTGCAGAGGCACTTCAGATTGCACCCTCCCAGATGCCTCTTTTGTGTTTAGAGAATGCAAAACCCTCCTTCATAACGAAGTACAGACAGGGATTATATCAAATCAGCTTAATTTCTCTATTTGTGCCACATGGCATCCTAATTGCTATTGCCTCCAGAAATTAATTATGAAAAGTAGCATTCACCCTCAGAAACAAATTTTAATGGGTGTTTTCTTACTGGTGTTTTCCTTATAGAGGCCAATAATTGACTAGCACCAATAGTGAAGGCTATAAACCAAGCAGGATGTATACCCCAAGGGGGTAGAACCCAATAAATTTTTATCTTCTGTATCTAAGCAAACTGCTAGAGTGGGTGGGGCTGCTTCAGTCCTACTGGGTAGGGCTCCTAAGTACTTTTATCTTGTTTAAAAACCAGTCAAATGGAACATTCAGGAGACCTGGGAAAAGTGTCCTTGGAGGGGAAGGGGATGAACAAGCCCAATGTTCTCTGTGCACCAGACCCTCATATTTTCCTTTGCTGCCTCAGGCCTCCACCCCCTCCACTGACATTAGCTTGGATATATGAGAGGCTTCAGGCTTTATGTGCCATCTGGCAGAGCTCTCTTCCTCCTCCCCTCCTTCCAATGTGGGTGTTATGTCATGAGATATTGTAGACTTTCTGAGACCTAAAACTCAACCACTCTGACAGGCATAATTAGAGTAGTGGCTATGGCACCAAAGGAATCCCCATCTCCATCAGCCAGCCTACATAAACTTTGCAAGAATAAGCATAGTCACCCTTTGGCCCTGAGCATTTTGCAAGCTGAAGTTCAAGTGAATACTTCCCGGCCATCACTTATGACTCAGATTCCTACTTGGCTCAGTGGCTTTGCTGCCTTGGTGGACCCTCTTAACATCCCTGTGGCCCAGACTTCTCCACAAAACGGATTTTCAACACCTAAAGTACTGAAGAGCAACGATGTCAGTCCAGAGACTAAGATGTGCCTGATCCAGGCCATGGTCTTCGTTATTACATTCTATGCATCAGAAAGCTAGACAATGACTGGTATGATAGAAAGAGAATTGATGCCTTTGAGTTATGGTGCTAGAGAAGAATATTGACTATATCATGGAGTGCTAAAAGAACAAATGGGTTCATCTTGAGAGGGTAAAACCAGGCTGCTCCTTGGAGGCAAGGATTCTGAAGCTTTGTCTGACATACTTGGACATGTGGCAAGGAGGGACCAGTCCTTGGAGAAGGACGTCATGCTTGGGAGGGTGAAGGGACAGCTCAGGAGAGGAAGACCCTCGTTGAGATGGATTGAATCAGTGACTGGGGTAATGGGGAAGATGTGTCAAAGACAAGACTGGCACAGGATAGAACAGGGTTCAGAGCTGTTGTACATAGGGTCGCTATGAGTCACAAGGGACTAGACAGCACACAGCAACAACAGAGTTGTGTAAAAGGCCAGCTAAAAAAGAACTACTGGGTATGAAGTTATGTTGCCAAACTCAAAGGCATGTGGCTCAAATCTACCATCTGTTCCTCAAGATTTATAACTTCTGAAAACCTCACTGGAGTGTTAGTTATGAGTTAGTTCCAACTGAGTGGCACACAACAACAAAACCCCTAAGAAAGTTCTGTGGCTTTCTTCTGTTTGATATATTTAAAACAGTAACTGTATCAGAAAGCAAAATAACAGCAACAGCCTAGCACAAAACACCTATACTCAGGTAATTCTAATTCTAGAAGATTTGCCTTTATTGGGTAATGGTATAAAGATGTATATAACAGTGACAATCAATAATTACAATATTGTTCATATCACCAATAAAATAGAAGTAATTGAACTGCCTGCAAATGTGATATTTATTAGCTTGGGGGGGCGGAATACTTGCTGTGGAGTCAATTTCTGACTCGTCCTTGTATGTGAGAGAGCAGAACTATGCTTCAGAGGTTTTTTTTTCAATGACTGACTGTTCAGAAGGAAATTGCCAGGCCTTTCTTCCAGTGTGCCTCTGAGTAGGCCTGAATCTCTGACATTTAAAATAGCAGCAAAACATGTTAATCATTTACCCAAGGGATTCCAGCAGTCATGATTCTACCTTTTACTGGTATGCTGTGAGGCCATTTAAAAAATCTCTAAGTTGGCTGTATCTAATTGTTGCTATTAAAGTATATTCAAAAAATTATAATGATGAAAATGTTGCTTAGGTAACAATACATGTTCTAAAAGAACACACATGAAAAGAAAAAAATCTAGAAAGAAGTGCATTAAGTGGTGGTCTCTGGATATTATTATTAAGGTGATAATGGTGGTTTTTATACTTTTTTCTTCACATTAAAAAAGTAATTTGGAATGATTGCACAACTTGAAGAATGTAATTAATGTCACCAATTGATACTCATAGAAATTATTCTCTTCCTCTTTCCCTCCACACACATGCAATAATAAAAGAGGCATGAAGTTTGAAACCACCAGCTGCTCTACGGAAGATGGGCAGCCTTCTCCTATGCGATTTACTGGCTCTGAAAACCTGCTGGAGGGTCAGCTACGGATTGGTTCTGACTGTTGTGTGACAGCATAACAATGACTGTATATATAACAGAATGAAACCCTGCCACATCTGACAACCTCACAACCCCTGTTGTGTTTGAACCCATTGTTGTAGCCACTGTATTGATCTCATTAAAGGTCTTCTTCTTTCTTGATGACCTCCAATTTTACCAAATATGATGTCCTTTTTCAGGGCCTGGGCCCTCCTGGCAACATGCCCAGAGTATGCAAGACCAAGTCTCATCATCCTTGCTTCTCAGAAACATTCTGGCTGTATTTCTTCCAAGACAGATTTGCTTGTTCTTTTGAAAGATTATGGAGAATGGACTTAATTTCTTTTTCTGGTTAATACATATTGTATTAGTACATGTTGTTGAGTCAGAACCGACCCAAAGCTGACCCTTCAAAGTAAATCACATGGGAGGAGATTACCCATCCTTCTTCGTCAGAGCTGCTGGTGGATTTGAAGTGTGTGCCTTTGGGATTGCAGAGCAGCTCCTTCTAGGCCACCAGAAGAGCTGAAATTTCAACTCAGGGCACCTAATAACAATAATCTCAGTCACTCATTAGGCACCTAGTGGCCTTGTGCTAAGAAGCTGTGCTGCAATTCTGAAGGCGTGCTGTTTGAATCCACCAGCTGCTCTGCGGGAGAAGGATGGGCAATCTCCTCCTGTGCGATTAACTGCCACTGAAAAGCCACTGGAGAGAGTGATGGCAACAAGATTTGGCTCTGATCTTGTTTGTTTGTTGTGGTTGGTTTTGTTTTTACCGCTAACAGTCTTTTCAATTTTTCCCTTCCCAGATAGTAGCATGCCTCCAAGACAGTGGGTTCCCACTCCGCAGTGGAGACCGCCACTGCCTGAAACCCCTCTCACAAATGCTGGAGGCAGTAGCTCTGCGTTTGTGCCCCCTACTATGGCTCCGAATCGGTACCCAAGACCTGTGCCCGGGAGCTTCCCTATCCAGCCCAGAGAGCAGTGGCCTTTCCCCTCTCTGGCCGGCCCCAGAGCCGCCCAGCCTGTCTTCCACCCTCGTGCCTTCCTCGGAGGTCACCTGGTTCCGCAACTCAGGCCTGAAGAGAAACAGCTCTTTCAAAGTCACTATTATCCGGAGAGCTACCTGCCCTACCCGACTCAAGAGCTCCTCATGAGGCAGAACCCTGAGGAGGCGGCTGCAGCGGCGGCAGCTGCCGAGGCATTTTATCGAAGAGCTGGATTGCCCTTCTACCTGCCTCCTGGCCCTGCCTACTGTAAGAACACGCCTACAAATCCTGGGAGGCTTGCCTCTGGTTGCGGGGGAGAATTCGTTAGCATGGGGGACGGGAAAATGACTTGGTTCCATTGCAGACCTGAGGTTATAGAGATGCAATATTCTGGTTAAACTTTCTAGGTAGCTTCCCTCAGCTGGTTTTGAACCTCAAGTCATTGGGCCAGTAATCCAGATTGGACCGTTTGCACCACCCAGGAACTCTTAATTTGTGCCTACATTAGGGAACACATACTTTTTAGAAAGAAAACAAAAAAAAATGTCCTTCTTAAGAATAAACTTGATTTATAATTGTACCCAAAAAGCAACCAACCCAATATGTGGCAAGATTTGCATGTTGTGCAAATAAGGTAAGTCAGCTTCTCTAGCGATCTATATTCTGGTGAGTTTTCTCTCACAGCTCCCTAGTCCATGGATGTCTATGTTTCTGGGCTCCTATTTGCGGCCCTGATGATGTAGTCGTTAAGTGCTGCTTGACCACTAAGCAAAAGATCAGCAGTTTCAATCCACCAGCTGCTCTGCGGGAGAAAGATGTGGCAATTCTACTTGCATAAAGATAACAGTGTTGGAAACCCTTTGGGGTGGCTCAGCTCTTTCCAGCAGGCCAAAGCAGATTACTCAATAAGCAAGATAAATGTGGGCTGACTTGTGCTTACTTACTTACTAATTATTATTATTATTACTAATTAGCAGTTTCGTAGGGGTTCAAAGATACGGTGGAGAACACATGAAATTGTTCACGAAAGATGAGTGGGTGAGCCCATGCTCCTCTTGCTTACTGGATACTCTGACCCTGTCCAGGACAGTACAGTTGAAAAGGGGTTTTGACTCTGTAAGAAGGTGCAGGGTTGGGAGAGAAACCATCACCAGCAGTACTTAGATGCAGAATGTCGGACGTGATGGGAAAAGAGGAGACTGTTCACTACAGAATAGTAAATACGAGTTGATTATTGGCACTGCCTAGAAGGTTTTTATGAGTGGGAATCAACTTGGTGACAGTGGGGGTTTGGGTAGCCTTTGATGCCTGACTTGAAACTCATTCTCAGAAGCTTTCCTCATCCACATTGGGCGGTTAGTACCCAAAAGGCCTGTTCAACACAGCCTACCTAACCCAGGCACGAGGTTCCATCTGAACACCGAGAACAAATTTCTCATGGATATACCACACTTGCCATGCCAAACATTGGTTAAATGTGCTTAAACTCTACTATTAAAACGCCATGCTTGGGAAACCTGTGAGACTTCTTACCTCTGCATTCCGACAAAACTGTGCTCTTACTAGGTTCAGAGGGAACATTGGCCCAACTGAATTTGCATGTGCAGACACAGTGAAACTCCGTTCCCTGCTCAGATAGAACCCACATACCTCAAATCATTGCTTCCAAACTTACCCACTCTGAACAACTCAACTCCAACCCCACAGACAGTGAACATCTACTCTTGGTAGGCGCAATGCTGAAATGATAATACAGGTACTATTCTAGCTCTTGCCACAATTTGCAAAATCTCCACTGCTTCCAACTCACCATGGTCTTCTCATCTTGACTTGATTTTCCAGAATTTCTGCATGAATTCAGAAACTCCTAATCAGGAGTACTACCTGGCACAGGGAATGGGGTCCAAGTGTCTTAAAGACAACATCTTCTCTGCCTTTGCTGCCAGCGATAGGGAGAACAGGCCAGATCTCTAGAAACCAAGGGCAGGCAATTTGGACCCTCATTTGCAGTGGCTAGTTAAGTGCTCTGCTACTAACCAAAAAGGTCAGCAGTTCTAATCCAGCAGTCACTCTGCTGGTGGTGATCTGCATTGTGATGATTTACAACCTTGGCTACCCTGTGGGGTAGTTCTGTGCAGTCCTACAGGTTAGCTATGAGGAGGAATGGCTTCTAGGGCAATAGGTTTGGTTACTAGAGGGATCTTTTGGTGGCGTAAATGGTTTGCGCTCAACTACTAAGCTAAAAGTTGGCCGTTTGAACCCACCTAGTGGTATCACAGAAGAAAGGCCTGTTGATTTGTTACTGCGAAGATCACAGACAGCAAAACATTCAGATGTGCAGTTCTACCCTGTAACTCATGGGGTTGCCCAGGTTGGAGACTAGCTCAATGGCGACAGCTTGGGTTTTTCTTAAAGGAGAGTGCTATCGTGCACTTTCTAACTGAGGCCTGAAGATTTCACTTCCACTTGTATTTCCTTCTTCTTTTCCAGACAGGAAAAGTTTTGTCTTCCCAAATGGTAGAGTGGGTGCTGTCGGCTTTGAAAATCAAAGTACGTATCTGGTTTCTACCTTTGACAGGGATTCTGTCTAACCACGGGTATAAACCCCTATGTCCTCAGCAGCTGGGAGGGCTGTTTAATTTTGTAGTCCTGCCTGAATTTTGAATTTTAGTCTTTTTGTGTTTGGAATTTATTTCCTCTTCATCTCCAAGAGCCATTTCGTATCTTGTGAAATGTCTTACCCATATGCTTGTTTTGCTGTAGATGTATCTCAGCTGGGTTGTTTCATCTAAGCCTGACTGAACTATGTAACCAAGGTGACTCAGAAAGTGCAGGTTCCTGGGGATTAGCATGATCTGCCCCAGATGCTCCATTTTTCTGCCTAGCACACAGGACCACCCCAGGACATTGGGCAGCCAGGCAAATGCCCACTGGGGCCTGGACTCCACTCAGTAAGAACTTTCCAGTGAAGACAGTCTCAGTGGGATGATATGAGGAGCTTTGTAGCCTGGGTTCGAATCCCAGCTTCATTTACTTCCTATCTCCAGCAATTTGTCCATGTTCCTTAACCTCTTTGTGCTTTCGGAAGGGAGTTCTGGTGGTCTAGGCTGGAGGGAGCTATGCTCCTCACCCAAAAGTGATGATTCTCTGGTGGTTCGAACCTACCAACAACTCCCTGGGCAAAAAGATGGCCAATCTCCTCCCATGCGATTTACAGCCTCTGAAACCCCATTGAAGGGTCAGCTATGAGTCGGTTCTGATAGGTTATTTCAAGTGGCCCTCACAGAAAACCTATGTACATGCTTAGGATGATGCCTGACATGCCACTGTTATTATTCCGTACAACTCTTAGCAATCCTATGAACAACAGATCTGAACTCTGTCCTATCCTGTGCTGTCCTCATCACCCCTAACACATTTGAGCACACTACCACAGTTTGACACACCATAAGCCATCCAAATGCATAACCCTTCTTTGGAGGGCATACAGCATGCTCCTGGAAAGCTTAAAACAAACAAAAACCACTGCTGTCAAGTGTATTCCAACTCATGGTGACCTTCTATCAGGTTTCAGAAGGTATAAATCTTTGCATGAAGACACTGTCCATGTTTTTCCTGCAGAGCAGCTAGTGAATTGGAACTATCTTTGGATTAACAGGCCATTACATAATACACGATGTCAACAGGGCTCCTTCCTGGAGTCTGTAGATGGTAGCAACAGTTAATACAAACAACTGCGAACCACAAGGTTGGAGAGTCAAGGCTACTGATTCACCTCAAAAGAAAGACCTTATGATTTTTTTTTAAATAATCAGTTCTACTCTGTCATATAAGGTCACTATGAGTTAGGATTGCCTTGATGGCCAAGTGTTTGCTTTGTGTGTTTGTTTTTAACTACTTGCAATGTAAGTTCTATTTTTTACCTTATTTCACAAGATTGGAACCTTGTAGCAGGGATAGGTTGTATAGGCTTGCCTTAGTCATAAAAGAAATAAGTGTCAGAGGCAGTGTCTATGATTGCAAAGTCCTAGGGCTTACCCACTAAACTAAGCTGCATCTTGGCTCAATGATTTATTTCAGCATATAGAGACACAGCTTCTCTAACCAAGTAATAACCAGTAAACAAGCAGCTGCAGTCATGTTGTCCGTGTGGATGAGAGTAGAACTGTGCTCCATAGCATTTTCATCTGACTTTTGGGCTGAGTTGCCTCTGGGTAGCCTCAAACTTACAAACTTTTGGTTAGTTGTCGAACACTTTAACTATTTCTACCACCCAGGGTCTCTAATAAAACACTAGTTAGCATTTTTTGAACACATAGATACCACACACTATTCTAATGTGCGCACATAAATAATGCACATATACATGTGGTGCACATGGCATTCATAGGAAACTAATGCTACTGGGTGGTTGGATGGCTTGTCAAAACTGTGCATGTGCATTATTTTCCTAAAGGTACTGTAGTCCTCACCAGACTCCTGGGAAGTAGGCAACATTATTCTCATTTAGCAGACCCCCAGAGAAGATAGGTAACTTGTTCAGGGTCACACAGCTTGAGAGTGGTAAGACCATGAATCAGGGTTTTATCGGACTCCAGAACTGGCTTCTTAAACATCTTTCTTATTCTGTTTTTCAGGGTTCCAGTATGTGCCGAGAAGACCAAACTTTTTCTTTTATTGAAATTTCATTTGAAGAAGAGAATTCTTTTTCCAAACCTGCTCCTGATTTTCCAGTGTGAATCCAGAATGTCTGAAAGCATTATCCTTTTCTTTTTCCTTTCCCTGCAGTAAGTTCACATTCCTCCTAATATAGTTCAGACACTCCTGTTCCTTGACATCTAGTCTATAGTAGGGTTTCAAACTTAAGTAAATTCCTAGAATATAAAATAGTAAAGCAAGCTGTTTAGGATAGGAGGCAGAGAACGCTGCTTTCCAGGCTCATTCTACCTTCTCCTATACCCAGCACCTTCCTACTTAAAAGTCAGTCTCCTTATCACCGGCCATAGTTCTTCAAACCAAGAATGACAATATAGTATCCTGTAGGGCTGTCTTACTTTTTAAAGTGTATCATAGATCTAGAACACCTTGAAGTTTTCCAATCTGGCTGTCCCTGATGAATGAAATATTTTCATTAGAAAGGTGTGTTTCCTCAATTAAAAAAAAAAAATCCTAGTGAAACAGTTGCAAAATCTTGGACACCCAAGAATTTACTTGTTAGAAGTAGAGCCATTTCCTTGTCCCAAGCAGGGCCTGTGGATAAGAATACATCCTATTGTTCAGCAGACCCTTGGTGGCCCCTTGAAGTCTTCCAGAGTGGCCCACCTTGCTTCCACAAACAACAGAACTTCTCCTATTAATGTATCTGGGGAATTCCCCTTTTCTTTTCAGCTAATGAACC